TTTTTTTTTCTTTAAAAAAAAAAAAAAAAACTTCAACTTTTATATTGTAGTATTTATAAAACTATAAAAGAATTTAGGCACCATTGCAAAAATACCTCACAAATGACTTCCCGTATACTACATGTAACTAAATTATGTGTTTTACTTCAACATTTATTGGACAAAATGAATCTATAAAAGAACTGGTATCATAAATTATACATGTGTAAAGTGTAAAGTGCTTTTAAACATAGCTATGCTAATAGCCTTTGCCATGAAATTACTCGTGACACTTTTTTTTTTACATCTTCCACTCCATTAACTTCTTCAACCCACATGTGCATCTCTCATTTATCTGCTTTTTATCACTCACCTCTTTGAACCAACCTTTAGTTTCCCCCTCTTTTCTCGACAGGTCCACATGATCTGTTGTTGGTGAGTCATTTCGGTACCAGTACCAGATTGAGGATGCTGAATCATGTCTCTCATGCACCTGCAGTGAATGATAAGACACATGCAGAAAAGCTCTTCTGCCGCCTACTCACTCGGCGCATCCCTATATAAACCGATCGATTAGCGCTCTCATTTGCATGGGCGTTTGTTCCACACTACACACATAGTCATGGGAAAGTCCCACTGCTATCCATTTTGCTCAAAGTGCAAAGATAGCCATAATTGCACAACACGCAGCCCAAAGTAATATAGACCCACGTCATACCACCAAGAGCACATGCTGCTGCAATCATGTTTAATGGATAAAGGTTGATCGAATAACATTGTTTTTCCATCAATAGCCTGTTATTGCAGACTAGGCTACGTGTAAGCGACGTTGGTGTTGAGAAAACCCCAACCGCCAGAGGAGGAGGAAATGTTGGTTAAGTATTTAATGCACCATTTCCGCTCTGTAAAGTCCGTGGGTTGAGACGGGGAAATCCTAACCCTGTTCGGTTTGCCAATCAAGAGTGCAAGATCTCGTCTTCACTAACCGTCATATGGCTGTTATTAGACGAACTTTTTCACTTTCCTTAAACATATGAGGGTCTTTTTTGGCCCGGTTTCCAAGAGTACCAAAACAATGCGAAATATCCGACCCCCTGCTTCGGAGATCATTCTGCTTTTTGTGTTTTAAAGGCATTTCCTTCCCCGTATATACGAGAATGCCCTTTGCATTGTGTTTCCTTCAGTTTATTTTTCAACAATAACCAATGAATTCTAAAAGCATTTCCATTGAAAGTAGGCCGACCATTTAAAGGGGTCATATGATGTTGCTAAAAAGAACATTATTTTGTGTATTTGGTGTAATGAAATGTGTTTATGCGGTTTAAGGTTCAAAAAACACATTATTTTCCACATACTGTACATTATTGTTTCGCCTCTATGCCCCGCCTTTCTGAAACACGTCGATTTTTAAAAGCTCATCGGTCTGAAAAGGTGTTTCTTTACCATTACAACAGCAAAACATGACTGTAAAGGTCATAAATAATTTTGCACATCTTGGAATGTCCTGTAATGACTTTTCTTTAGTTGTTTTTAAGTATGTTATGACATCAGCCATCATCACTTTTCGGTGTGCCTGCTTAGTGGCCCCATCTTGCGCCACAGAGTTTTCTCTCTCCTCACATGACAGAGGAAGTGAGTCAGATTATCACAGGCTCCAGATGACCTGAAGTCAGAGGCCAATCATGACGAGAAAACAACGTAGAAATAAACGCTGCCCTTTAAAAGTGCCAACGTGTCAAATCGAACATCAACCAAATAAAAAGCAAACTAAACAAAACAAAAGAAAACTAAACGAAAAGCAAACAAAAACACAAAACAAACCAAAAAAATAGCTAACAAAACACCCATTTTGGATATATATATATATATATGATAGCGTACTCTAAATAAAAGTGAAGACTGCTCACGTTAATTAAGACAAAATTAGCACAGAATTGTGGTTTGTTCCCTGTACATGAAATTTAAAGAAAAATGTTAATGACTGGAAAGTGTAGATTTAAAAAATATATATATTTCTTTATTTATTGTAGTATTTTAAGGCAATCTTTGAAACGCCACAAATAAACATATATTGGTTTAAATCACAGTTCAGTCATTATTTTTTAAACTATTCTCCTTCTGCACTAAAAATATAAAACAGAACAAAAACTCTATTGTAATCTATTGTAACTTCCTGGACATGTATCAAGTCTGTTCCTTCTCACTGGTCATTGTGATTTTTGATGAAAATCCCTTTTAATCTTGAACATGATCTTTGTTTGGGAAATCAGCAGGAAAAAACATAGCCTTCAACAAACCAGGTGGCTAAAAGGGAATTTCTATCTGACCCAGAATTATCTAACAACTAACACTCCTGTTGATGGCCATCTAACTGGAACACTTACCAAAAAAATAAATAAATAAATACTAATGGCCTAAGACAGCACTATGCAAAAGTCTTAGGCCATTAGTATTTTCATCAAAAACAAAAAAAGGTTTTAAGCCAGTTATTTCTATCTTTTGCTGTAGTGTGTCAGTAGGAAATATCAGTTTACATTTCCAAACATTACTTTTTCTGTTAACTGTAATAATCCAGTGAGATTTTTGTATGTTTAGGAGTCTGAAAGCAGCCAGTGCTCCACACAGAGATCTGATTTCACCATCAGTCTGTCTGGAATTACATGAAGAAACAGAACAAACTCAGACAGACTAAATCCAGAAGAACTGTGGCAACATCTCCAAGACACTTCAAGAAACCTTCCTACAAAGCTACCTGAAAACCTCTATGCAAGCGCTGGACAAAAGCTGTTTTAAACAAAAAGGGTGGTCCCACCAAATGTTGATTTGATTGAGTTAATTGAAGTTAATTGATAAATAAAATCTATTTATGACATTATTTTTGAAAGCATCCTCACTTTACAGCATTTTTTACACAAGTGCCTAAAACTTTTCACAGTACTGTAGCTTTGTAGGAACTAAAGTTATCTTGAAACATCTTGGAGACATTGCCACAGTTCTTCTGGATTTAGTCTGTCTGAGTTTGTTCTGTTTCTTCATGTAATCCCAGACGGACTGAATGATGGTGAAATCAGATCTCTGTGTGGAGCACTGGCTGCTGTCAGACCCCAAAAATGCGCATGACAATCGCATTCGATTAATCGTGCAGCCCTACTTGAGAATGTTCCAAATGTTGCGCTTCAACGAAAGCGAGGAAATCTGACCTTTTGTACAAAGGAGTTGTACATGATAAATGTTACATGCATCCAAATAATCCATTTATACTCTGATTAACAGGAAAAAAATAAGCACGTCAATGCTTGAAATCTCCTACTTTCCCAGTTGGATAAAAAAAAGGTTACATATATACACTACTGGTCAAAAGTTTGGGATCAGTAAGGCTTGTAATGTTTTAATTAGATTTGAATGTATATTAAAATATAAAAACGATATTTTACATCATAATAATATTTCACAATATTAAATTTTTTCCTGTATTTTTGATCAAATAAATGCAGCCTTGATGAGCATAAGAAACATTAAAAAATCGTTCTGATCCCAAACTTTTGAATGGTAGTGTATATATTTTCATATAAGTAAAAATGACTGAAAAACATTAAGAATACAGAACTTTCAGAATCTGAAATTCATTCATTCATTCAGAATCTTATTCATTCTGACTGATGAAATTTTAAATTTGTTTATTTGATTAGGAACAATGCAGAATTTTTTTTATCAATTTTATGTTGAAAATATTCAAGTTTAGCTTTGTCCTATGTGTGATTAAAATAAATGCATGTTACCTAAAATGATTTAAGAATACACACACACACACACATACATACATACATACACACACACACACACACACACATATATATATATATACCTTTTTTTTAAATAGAAAGGCTAATATTGCAAGATTTGATGTTTTTTTGTTGGTTTTGTGGTTTTTAATTCACTCAAAATAATAGTGTTGACAAAATTAACTTAAATTTACAGGCAAGGCAAGTTTATTTATATAGCACATTTCATAAAAGAAAAGAAAATAATAATAAAAAAATAATCACAACAACAATAAAACAAGTGAAAATTGAAAATGATTTAAAAATTGATTTAAGAGGTTTAAAATGAATTTAAAACAGTTAAGAATAGAAAATGATTATGCATAAAATATAGTGCAATCAGTTCGGACATCGCACAGTGCTCATTCAATAAATGCACAGCTAAAAAGATGAGTTTTGAGTCTGCATTTAAATGTGACTAATGTTTTAGCACATCTGATCTCTTCTGGAAGCTGAAGTCAAATAAATGTATTATAGTTTATTATAAATGTATTATATTTATTATAGTCAAATAAAACTTTTCTGTAGCTCCAACAGTAGAGTATGGCAGTAGCATGCCAAGCTCATGGGTTTGATTCCCAAGGAAAGAATGAACTGATAAATTGTAAATGTGTACAGTACCTTGAATGCAATATAAGTTGCTTTGGATAAAAGCTTCTTGCAGTTGCATGAGTCTAGTAAAACACACTCTCGATTGGGAATATCCCCTCCCCTTGTATTACAAATAACACCTGCCACTGACTAGCAATAACAAGTGGTTTTGGTGGACTGCAACGTCAGACTGTTGCATTTTTTTATGGTTTATGTCCTGCTGCAGCATCTAGTTTCAAAACATTTCAGGAAAATAATTAGTTGTCGCGTTCTCGGTTATTTGATACACAAAGACATGAGATGTTTTGTTTTATCATTGGGGAACCTTGAAATCTGCAATTGTTCAGCTGCAGTCTGAGTAACACAAGCTTTTTTTATTTTGTCTCACCGTCATCCTCTCTTCCTCTCTTTTGCTTGTTTGCTTTGATACATTTTGCTATCATTTTTCTGCCAGAATCTATAAATACCAGGCCCATGGCTATGCCTTCAGCTCAGTAGAAGAGCTGCTGCACTCTCTCGGGGGTTCAGGATTTATCAACATGACCCGCCGCTCGCTTTCCGAGTCTCTGTTAGAGCTGGGCGTCTCCCAGCGCTTCATTGATGAAGTCATAGCCCCGATCATGAGGGTCAACTACGGCCAGAACATCAGCATCCCTGCATTTGTTGGTATGCACAGCACTTTCTTTATAGTTGATTATTTATTAAGCTTTGCACTTGCATACAAATTATACTCTAATTATTTTAGTTTTTTTTTTTGTTACATTCTCATTGATAAAATATATGAATCATTAATGAAATTATTCATTGATTAATAATCTGTTAAATTATATATATTTGAAACATGAAGTAGTGTGTATATATAGTTATAGTATGTATAATAATCCTAAAATGGCTTTAAATGGCAACAAGAATTTCTCCAAAAAATTATTTTAATGGTGTCTTGTCATTTTTTTTTTTTTTTTTTCCTAAAATGGCTTTAAATGGCAACAAGAATTTCTCCAAAAAATTATTTTTATGGGGTCTTGTCATGTTTTTTTTTTTTTTTGTAATAGCTTTTTGCACTAAAAACATAAGCGTCAATTGAAAATCTTTTAAACATAAACTACTATTCAAAAATTAGTACGATTTTTGTTGTTATTGTTGTAGAAAAAAATATAATACTTTTATTCAGCATGAATGCATTAAATTTATCAAGTGTGACAGTGAAGACATATAATGTTACAAAACATTTCTATTTCAAATATAATCTGTTCTTTTGAACTCTCTATTCATCAGTGAATCTTGAAAAGTATATAAATATATATACCATGCTTTCCGCAAAAATATTAAGCTGCACAACCGTTTTCAACATTGATGATGAGCACAAATGTGTCTTGAGCACCAAATCAGCATATTGGAAGGATTTAAAATAAAAATAACAATAATATACTTAAATAGGAAAGGTAATAAAATTGCAATTTAAATTGCAATAATATTTCGCAAGATTTGATGTTACTGTATTATTGATCAAATAAATGTAGCCTTGGTGAGCTTAAAAGTCTTCAAAATTTCAAAAACATAAAAATAATCTTACCCCAATATATATATACATACATTATATATATATATATATATATGTATGTGTGTGTGTGTGTGTATATATATATTTATTGATTTATTGATTTATATTTGTGATTCTGTCTGAAGTTTTAATGATTTAAAAAAACCTGAATGTTTTGTTGATTATTTTCAATTAATGTGTTTTGGACAGAGTTCTGTTTTATTAAAAAATATATATACAGTATATGAGGCTTCAAGGAGAAGAGACATTTCTGAATTATCCTGGAACAAAGTTTATAGTATAATACTCATAAAAAGTCATCTGGCCATCCTAGTTGTCTTTTCGCCACCCAGTTTCATGTCTGTTTTGAGTCAGTCCGCTTCTCTTTGACAGGTGCTGTGTCTCTAGCTGGTGCACAGGCCAATCTGTGGGCTGTGGAGGGAGGAAACAAGCTGGTTTGCTCGGGACTGCTTAAACTAGCAAAAGCTAATCTCATCCAAAGTCCAGTTACAACCATTACCCTCCGATCAACAGGTATTCCACATAACCATCAGTTAAAAAACTTTGTGAAAACCAAGATCAACTCTGTTCATCTGGACCTCTAAATGGCTGTACTGTTCGTGGCTAGTAGGCATTCTTGTTGACTGCAGTATCTAACAAATCTTCTCTTCTTCCCCATCGATAGTAGCCACAGAATGTCACTTTGTCCCAATGGTCTCTGTCACCTATTGGTGACTCTCTTTTATGTCCAGCAGTAAAGAAAAGAAAAAATCTTTTAAAGGAATAGTTCACCCAAAAATTAAAAGTTTCATCCAAGATGTTGACGGGTTTGTTTCTTCGTTGGAACAGATTTGGAGAATTTAGCATTACATCACTTGCGCAGCAATGGATCCTCTGCAGTGAATGGGTGCCGTCAGAATGAGAGTCCAAACAGCTGATAAAAACATCACAATAATCCACAAGTAATCCATAACACTCCAGTCCATAAATTAACATCTTGTGAAGTGATAAGCGGCATGTTTGTAAGAAACAAATACATCAAGATCAAGTCTTCTGTCTATAATATTGTTTTCCCCAGTGAAAAAGACGTCTTGTCTGAATCAGGAGAAAAATATGCACCGTTTACAAGAGAAAACAGTCTAAAACTGTTCTAAACATTGATTTGAGCCAGAAGTTAATGATGGATTCATTTCTTACAGCTAGTGCTGGGCGGTATGACCAAAAATTTATATCATGGTATTTTTCAAAATTATGCCGGTTTCACGGTACATGACAGTTTTTTTTTTCATGTATGACCGGGTTAACCATATTTTCTACTGATTGAGAGAGGAAATACTGCAGTATATTGACTTAGAATGCCCTATTTGAATGTTGTTTAAGCGACATACACCGGTATTGCGGTATTTTAAAAATTCATATCATAACAAAAATAAACACCGGTATTCGGTATGAACCGGTATACCGCCCAGCACTACTTACAACCATGCAGATGGATTAGAGTGGTGTGGATTACTCATTCTGACGGCACCCATTCGCTGCAGAGGATCCATTGGTGAACTAATGATGTAATGCTAAAATTCTCCACATCTGTTCCCATGAAGAAACAAACTCGTGTACATATCTCGGATGGCCTTTTCAGCAAATTCTATTTTTTGAGTGAACTATTCCTTTTAAGAATCTAGTTCAAAATACATAAGCTAAGTTCTTAGAAATGTAGGCTACTCTTTGTTTTAAATGGTTTTAAACATCTTTTATGACATTTTAAAGACAATTGAATAACCACCAAGAAGAAATTGATATGTTATTTTATTTAGACCTGGAATACATGTGAGTGTAAACATATTTTCTAATATAATTATATAAATGATTAATTCATTAATTCACAATATCATTAAGTTTGGAGTTGCCACATCACATGACATTTTACAACTGTATATCATTTCCTTTTTTTTGTTGCTCCTCATGACTTTGTTAGTCATATCATATGGTTTTGATCTGGAAGTTTTTCTTTATATTAATAAGCAATGAAGCAGTTTTAACTAGCAATAACAAAAGAGAATACCACATGGTACTCAATTCAACAATCAGGACTTTCATTCTTGTAATGAGGCATTGTCTTCATGGTGGTATCACGCTGGAATTTTGACAATGTTACATAAACACCAACCGACTCCAAAATATCAAAATTAATTTTAATTTAGAAATTAAACCGTATTTATCATAGGAGATATGACATAATTTTAATGTGATTTTGAATGAATTAGTAGATCAAATCACCAAATCTTATTATTAATGACTTGGAGTTGGTTTTAAAATACTTCAAAATTTCAAAAACATAAAAATAATCTTACCCCAATATATATATACATACACATATATATACTGAACAATGCTGCCAGTATGAAGGCACCTTAAAACTGTGGTGATCTTATGGATTGATATAGTAATATACTTCACATTTATGTTATAAAAAAAAAACAATGAACAATTTACGTTCATTTTTTCCTCAGGAGATTACCACCAGTATGAACTCACCTACGACTCTCAAAATGAAAAGTCATCAGAGCTCTATGACATTGTAGTAGTAGCGACGCCTCTCCAACAAAACATCAACTCGGGCATCTCATTCCAGGGCTTTGAGCCACAACTTCCAGAAATAGCGGGCTCCTACCACCAAACTGTGGCCTCCATCATCCACGGCTACCTAAATTGCACTTACTTCGGCTTCCCCGACCCAAAGCTTTTCCCATTTTCCAGCATCCTGACCACAGACACTCCCGGACTTTTCTTCAACAGCGCCGCCAGTGTCTGTCCAGTCAACATAACCTCCGGCTTCCGCCGAAAGCAGCCTCAAGAGGCCGGAGTCTACAAGGTCTTTTCCCCAAAACCTCTGGAGAGGAGTGAGCTGAAGACACTTTTTAAGTCCTACTACTCAGTGCAGGTCACAGATTGGTTGGCGTATCCTCACTACGGAAGCACCCAGGGGTTGCCACCGGTAGTGCTGCACGAAAACTTGTACTTCCTGAATGGAATCGAATGGGCTGGGAGTGCGATGGAGATGAGCTCAGTGGCAGCTAAGAATATAGCACTGTTGGCCTACCACCGCTGGAATAGACAATTGGAAATGATTGACCAGAAAGACCTCATGCACAAAGTGAAGACAGAATTGTGACGCACCCCGTATGTCATTATAAAGACACTGTGAAGTATGATAAGAGGGATTATACTTGTCAAACCTGTTAGAGACAAAGTAAGCAAACAGCATGTTTTCGAATTCCACACAACATGACTTATGTTTTAGTTTTCCGTTTTTGATGCAAGATGCAAAAAGGTTGCATGTCTGCTTGTCTGTCAGATGTTTGGTGAAAGTGAACAGCAGTGTGGTCGCAGGCTAAACGCTCGATCTTTATCAGACGGCGGTAATGCATGGGAAGTGTTCTCCATTACTTACCAACTTGATGCTTCTGTAAGCTCACTTATCATGAGCTAATAATGTGATAAAGTGAAAAATTGTGTGAAGAGATGTGAAAGTAATTCTTCATTTGTTTAGGTATTTTTTTTATTATTATTAAGTCTTATAGTTTCACAATTCCAATCACTCTTGTGTTTTACATGCTTTTTTTTTTTTTTTTT